CTCCGGTACCGGGAACCGAACTCACGACCTTGCGCTTGCCAGGCAGGCGCTTTTGCCGCTGAGCTAAATCCCCAGCCCCACTGCGGCTCCTTTTCATCATAACCTACGTGGGTTCCCACGGGAACACAGAGGCGGGGAGCAAAGCCAGTCTTTTATGACCCACACCTTTCCTTCTCCCCCCCCTCAGCAGGTGTGACACTCACTGCAGAAGGACGCATGGGGCCAGCGGAGAGTTTTTACGCAAGTGGACACAGAAAAATCCAGAAAGCTCCGGGCAAACATAATTAGGCTGTTGTTAAAAGCTCAAAATACACAGCAAGAGAAAAACAAGAAAACTGTACTGAAATGCACCAATGGCGTGAGTGCATCTGAAAATCAATATTGCCCTGTACGCACGCAAATGTGAAGGAAATAATGCAGTGAAAGGATCCTTAGGAAAACTCAATGCTATGGGTGCAGCTCTGAGGTCAGCAAGAGAGATGGATCAAGCAGATTTCATTCCACTAAAATGAGCAAAGATATTAATCCCACAAGCAGATTATCCACTTAAAAAGTCCACCACTGGAGATCAGCTCAGAAAGGGTCTTCACTTACCAAGCTCAAATTCTTTTCAAATAACCACCCCCTAGCTTCTCTGCACCCACAAGAGCAGAGAGATGGACTCCCACTTTCTCAGACTGGGTTTCAGTTCTGTGCTGATGAACTAAGAGATCAGGAAACCAGAGTTCAAAGGGTGATGTCATCCTCCAGGGAAGATCTGATTCCTGTGCGGGCTAGTGACCTTCTCCTAACGATGTCCCTGGTTTGCTCCCTACAGCTAGATCACTATCCCTCCGTGAGTTACCACCTGCCAAGTTCATCCGACACGCTCTTCAATTCTCCCAAGTCGCTCTTTCTCGGAAAAGTTATAGGTAAGAATTCAGTTCATTAGATATGCATGTGTGTGAGGAATACATCTGGTGTGAGAATTCTGTTGCCTGATGTGAATTTGCATTTTAACATTAGTAGGAAAATTTATCTCACTAGGGTCAGTCTGGGCGTGTTCTCCGCGAAGAGACGTTACACTGTGCTTCTGAGAGTATCCAAGAAAAGCAATTATCAAATCATCTTTGGGGCTGTTGCTTGCGTGATGCTTTCTGAAGCTACCCATTCACCTCTGAACACCTTGTGATTGGGCCTGGGGGCTTCTGAGTCTGGGGCGGAAATGGAATAAGCATCGTTTGGCGTGTAGTTTAACCAGGACACAAGGATGTCTCTGGCTTTTGTACATAAAATGTGATTTTTGGTTTATTAGAGACCTCTAACTGGGAGCAATATTTAACTTCTTCTTTATGTAAATGCGTCAACATGATTCTCTTTTCCTCGCACCCACAAGAACTCTAGTTGATATTATTTGCAAATGTAATGGGAATTAGAATGTACTTTCCCTGTGTGTGATTGAACTTAGGAGTTGCCTCTACCTTCTTCTTCCAAATAGGTGGTTAGTGCTACCCAGATGAAAATACAGATGTGATCCATTAAGAAATTTTAAACGTTAAATGTGAGCCAATGACGTTTTTCTTTAATATGAAAATGGGTATTGTGGTGCTCACTTCGGCAGCACATATACTAAAATTGGAACGATGCAGAGATTAGTGTGGCCCTGAGCTGAGGATGACGTGCAAATTTGTGAAGCACTCCGTATTTTTTAAAACCTAAAACATGCAATAGGTATTATGAAAGGGAAAGAAATTGCTCAAAGGAAGGAACAACTGGGATGAGGGAAAAGAGAAAACGAAAGCAAGAAGGAAGGGGAAAAAATTGTGTATATATTTATATATATATATGGATAACTAGGATAACTGTGCTGCTGATGTCTAATGGCTTATTGAAAGGAGCAGGTAATGCCTAATTTTTTTCTTTTGGACCAATTTTGCATGCTTATATCTGGTAATCTGAACAACTGATTTGAAGACAATATGCAATAGAATAACCACGGGTGAATTCCTACCATCTTGTCTAGTGAAACTCTGTATTGTTACTAATAATGTAATGGGTTACCCTAAATAAAGAACCGAGACCAGAATCCAAATTGGAATTTTAAGAGCCTTAATTAGCCGGGCCAGAAGCTGCCAGTCTGTTCTCCACACAGGGAGATGCTGAGCAGCTCTGAACCGAAGAAAGTTTGAGCTTTTAAGCCTGAAAACCACATCCTGGTCGGTGCAGGTGAACAATTTCTTTTTTGCAAGGGCAGAAAAGCGGAACCTATCGGGTCCAGCAAGCGGGTGTTGCAAACTTCAGAATGTTCTCAGAAGCATACATTGTTTTCAAACTAAACTAACAATCAAGCACAGTTTCTCTTTCTTGGGTCAAACTGACGTTTTTCCCTCCACCCAATAGCTCGGTAATTTTTAGCCTTTATGTGTTTACCAATTATGTGTTCACCAAGTTCTTGGTTGTTGTTTTTGTTTATTTTTATTATGTTTAATGGTTTGATGAATCTTGCATTCTTACACCTGGTAATCTGAGCAACTTTGTTGAAGATAACAATACGTAATATAACAGCCACTGTTAATTGCTATCATTTTGTTCTGAAACCCTGTATCATTTTTATTGTTTTTGCTTTGTTTTATTTTTGTCTGTGCTGTTTGCATTTTGCTATTGTTCTTTTTTATTATTATTCCCTTTAAAAAGAAAAAGAAAGAAAATGGATACTGTAAACTCAAAATGGAAATTAAGCTCGTGGTGACGGGTGGGCCGGGTAGAAGTCACTCTTCGTATGCAGTGGGTAGTGGTGATATTACCCACCCAAACCCATTTTGCCCACCGCCCAGTTTACCAATCCCTGAAGCCAGGAATTTTGCAGGAGATTTTACTACAGTAATTTTAAATTTACCAGAGGCAAAGAAACCAAGTGGCACTCAGAGTAGTGGAGGGAACAAAGTTTATTACACCAGCGGGCTCACAGGAGCTGCGCACTCCAAGCCCCAGGCTAGTGGAAGAATAAGGCAGGGGTCTTCTGTGAGGGAGAGGAGCCCTACAAATGTGGGAACAAACTGGAAACAGTAATAGGTCCAGCACAGCGTGTACCTCTGTTACAAGCCTGTTTACAGAAGCGGAAGGACCACTGCAGGCTGTTGACATATCTGGGTTTTGAAACATTTTGAAAACAAAAGTTCTCCTACAATTTTATTCACAAGACAGCCAAACATGAGAAGGAGCCCATCCCACCCCACCTCGAGACTCAAAACCACCTCCCCAAGGATAGGATTTAGAGATGCTCTGTCCGACTTCTCATCCAACTCTGTCCAAGGTGAACAGATCCCCCAAACTAGGTGCCCGCAGATGTGTAAGAAAAGTAAGAGAAAAACAAACCAAGAGATCCAAAATCCTGTGACCAGGTGCTAGCAGCCTCTAGGACTGACTGACCCCTGATTACCATCCTCAGTAACCTTTTATTCAGAACCCACCAAGGAGGCAGCAGAGAAATCGGAGAATATCAACTGTTTTAGCAAGGACAATACAACTCAATTATCATAGGAATGTGACCTGACCAGAAAGCCATCACGTCATCTTCCTTCACCCGTATCTCAACAAAGCATCTAGTATTGACGGGGGCTCACAAGGCTATGCTAGACTTCCTCCAGAACCCAGCAATCATGGCTTGGTCAGGCCTCAGGCAATACACAAAATAGTAACTAAAGAATGTCCTTCTCCACAATGTTCAGGCGTTAAAAAATCAGGGTGGTCAGAGATGATAGGAGATAAAGAAATGAGATGTCATCGGTGGTTTGCTCATGCGTGATCCATTGTCCTGCCTCTTCAAAAGATGTGTTCTCAGAACACAGTGGTGCCTGCGTGCTTGTGGGTAGAGTTTTGAGCTCTGGAATCTAAAGGTAGCTTATGTAACAAAGGGCTTGCTGGTCTCACACAGTTTGATCCAAGCCAAGGCGATCTCCAAACCCGTAAAAAAATATATATCATATGTGCACATTATAGAGAACTTCCTTTGGTGTGTGGTTTGATTTGATTTGGTGTGGTTTGGTTTGGTGTGGTTTGGTTTGGTTTGATCAGGGATCTGGCAGTAATGGAATAGAAAAGATGTAGTTGTAGAAATCAGGCAGAGCTGTTGAGACTTGAATTGAGGGCTATTTCTGTTGACGCTGTGGGCCTGTTGTTTTATGGCTTTGTTACTTTCCCTTCTCAGAGCCTGGATTTTCTCCAAAGTGGAATGAAGAACATGAATGCTCCTTTGTAGGTCGGTAGCTCCCTGGGGTTGAGATCTTTGCCTTTTTTAAACTTTATTTTTCAATCTATTTGTAGCAGCAGCATTAGTGCCTGGCTTATGAAAAATGTTCAAAGCAGATTTCTGGAGTAAATGAACTATTCTTCCACCATTAAGCTGATCTCATCTTAGGGCTTAACCAGTACAGCGCCTGATACATAAGTAATGAAAATAATCGCCATTGTTTGATGCTGCTGACAGTCAGCCATGGTGTTATATGCTGTTTGCGTAGGACTGTCTACCCTCCTCCCAACACCACCCCAAACCATTGCTACCCTTCTTATGGTTTAGCTCTAAAAGACCTCCCAAAGTCACCTGTGTTGATGGGCTTTGGGAAAGTGATTGGTTTATGCAGGTTCTAATTTCATCAAGTGGAGGAGACCATTGGTCCACTTCAGTTCTCCAGCTGAGTGGGCTTTTAGGAGGTGGAACCTCACTGGATGAAGCAGGTCACTGTGGCTTTGAAGTGTTTACTTTGCCTCAGGCTCCTTCCTCCCTAGAGCATTCTGTCTCTGCTTCCTGGCTGCCGTGAGGTAAGCAGCTTAGCTCCATCATGCCCTCCCACAACAATGGAAACAGCTGACCATGGACTGCAACCTCTGAAACTGTGAGCCCAAATAACTTCTCTCTCCTTTAAATTAGAGGAAATTCTCAAGTGTTTGGTCACAGTGACGCAGTACTATCACAACCCTCGTGGTATCAAGAAGGACACCAGACTGGCACTGTTAGGTTTCTTTTCTTAAAGCAGTCTCACTGTTAACAGTGATACTACTGGGTCAGAAAATTCTGCTCTGGGGCTGCCCTGTGCATTGCAGCGTCCTCGGTCTTCGCTCACAGACACAAGTAAATCCCCAAATTGTGACAACCAAAAGAAGCTCCAGACATTGCTCAAAGTCCTTCTGCAAGGGCAGAATCACCACCATAGGAGAATCTTGGCTGAAAGCGCCCAGTTAGTCCCCTCGAATCTGGTGTTTGACAAGTGTGACGTGTGACGTGTGACGTGGTGAGCTTGGCTTTGCCTGATAACACTTGCGTCTTTCACAAGGAGAAGAGTCAAGAAAGACATCACTGGACATGCTATGAATAAAATTCTGCTGGTCCAATCAAAGGAACTACAGGCAGACCCAAGGAAGGAACTCTGGGTGCTTAGGGAGGCCAGTCATTGGCCATCCCTTCAAACTAATAATCCTTAAATGTTTGACCATGTAGTAAGGACAGGATCAGCCAGGAATGTTTTTAAATTTCCCTTTGACAGTAGCATGTACTTCAGTGTGAGACAAGCCCGTTTGCATTCCCCAGCTATGTAAATATTCATCTGACAAGATGACTTGAACTTGCAGCAGAGCTCTTGTGCTCCAGCAAGCTTTCCACAGACCCTAGAGACTGATGCCCTCCAGTCGTTGCCTTGCTAGGTCAGCTGCTAACCAGAAACTGATCTGATAAAGGACAGAGCGGGAGATGGATCTAAATAAATAATGTGTCTTCACACTGAGCTCTTTGATGAGCACCACTTGGGAAAGAACACACAGGAAGGAGAGAAAAAAGGCAGCTTCTCAGGGACAAGTGTGAGCTTTATGAAGGGAGTGGAGGAAACACAATATAGACATAAAAGTGAGACCACTGTCGAGTGCCACAGAAGTTTAGTGT